AGGTATTGTATCCAGGTGACAAGGAACCAACTTCAAATTTAACCTGCCACAAATCACTGAAACAATTTCCCTGTGTTTCTTCTGAGAGGATCCACAATTTTCTGAAACCTGATCCTCATCTCTGGCTTACCTTTCCCTTTTCTTTTTCAGCATTTATTATTGATAAGTCTGCCCACCTAAATGTGTCTAAACTGATTTTTCATTCTAAATTCAACTAAAAATAGGTGAAAAAAAAAGCTAACATAAATTCTCCATAATTACTGATGAATGTTGCATATGATGAATTACAAATATATTACTTTTTTGTCTTAGCTAATCTTTTTGTCTTCCCCAAAATTACCTTTTTTTACCTCTTTTAAAGTAACACTTAAGTCGATCAACTAATGTTGATGGTGACTTAAGGACTGATTTTTTTTTGGTCTTTAGTTGCTGACAAGGCTGCCTACCTGATGGGTCTGAACTCAGCTGACCTACTTAAGGCCCTCTGCTACCCCCGAGTCAAAGTTGGGAATGAATATGTGACCAAAGGTCAAACCGTGCAGCAGGTAACAAAAATTCCTGTTTTGTTGACAAATCCTCTGGACTTCCTTTTTGCCTTACATGTAAACTACAAGCCTTCTGGTTTTCGGTGTTTTTTTTTTTTTTTTTTAATTTTAGGTATACAATTCAGTAGGTGCCTTAGCAAAGGCTGTTTTTGAGAAGATGTTCTTGTGGATGGTTATTCGCATCAACCAACAGCTGGATACCAAACAACCCAGACAGTACTTCATTGGTGTCCTGGACATTGCTGGTTTTGAGATCTTTGATGTAAGAACAGTATTTTATTACCATGGGTTTAGAAGTAACTCTATTGTGTGCCGAAGTACTTAATAAGGAATTGTGCCAATATTTTTTTCCAGAAATGGTTTGATCATTTCAGAATACACCTAAAGCATCATGATTTCCACAAGGTTTTAATTTGGAATAGATTTTTATGTTGCTGCTATGCCAATGGAAATACATAAATGCATTTTTTTGACTGATTATAAACAGTAGACTACCATGGCATTTGGTTCCTAATGCACAGACACCAGGTCCATAGACACATTTTTTGTTTAGAAGTCTTGTGATGTGCTTTAAATTAACATTCAGAAATGCAAGGTAAACTGATGTGCTGGGGACTCTAATGTAACTGAATTAGCTCAGTCCAGTAGATATCAAAACTGACAAGTCTGACATATTAAAGTGGCCTAAGACTCTTGAGGTCCTAAATGTATTAATAAAGTCTAGTTTGACAAAATAGAAACACTGACAGAAGTTCCAAATTCCTGGTTGAGCAAAGAAGGAACACTCACAGATTCTCCTGCAATTTCATACAAAAAGCCAGCATTGTTCTATATTCTTAGTTTTCTAAATTTATATTAATATTAATCTCTATTTGTAATGGTGCAGTTCAACAGCCTGGAGCAGCTGTGCATCAACTTCACCAATGAGAAACTGCAACAGTTCTTCAACCACCACATGTTTGTGCTGGAGCAGGAGGAGTACAAGAAGGAGGGAATTGAATGGGAGTTTATTGACTTTGGGATGGACCTGGCTGCCTGCATTGAGCTCATTGAGAAGGTATTAATGTAATTCACAATGTCTAGAAATGCAATGATTTTTGATATATTTGTAAATGTAGCTTGAAAGGGTAAATATGATATTGTAAATACATAAGTTTTTGTTTGTTTGTTTGTTTGTTTTTTCAATTTACTCTGCTGAGCAGAAGAGCAATCCCTGGGAATGTTAATATTGTTCCACTCAGGAAGCTATTTCTTCATCTGTGATTCTTTTTGTCTGTTCACCTCTTCTTCCTTCTTTCCTTCCAGCCCATGGGCATCTTCTCCATCCTGGAAGAGGAGTGCATGTTTCCCAAGGCAACAGACACCTCTTTCAAGAACAAGCTCTATGCCCAGCATCTGGGCAAGTCCAACAACTTCCAGAAGCCCAAGCCTGCCAAAGGCAAGGCTGAGGCCCACTTCTCCCTGGTGCACTATGCTGGTACAGTGGATTACAATATTTCTGGCTGGCTTGACAAGAACAAGGATCCCTTGAATGAAACTGTTGTCGGGTTGTACCAGAAATCATCAATGAAGACACTGGCCTTACTCTTTGCCTCTGCTGGAGGAGAGGCAGGTCAGTTCTGTGAAATTCATATTTTCATTTTTATTTAATAACTCTATCAGAGCCATGAATATCACCTAGAGGGTTCTAAAGAAATTGCATGTTGTGCTGAGTCTCCCATGTTTATTAGTAAGGGAAAAGATCAAATGTATTTCAGTTCTCCCATTCAGTCATGTTAATGCTTTGGATTACCTTCGGTCCTTAGTTCCTTTAGGTTGTGTGTTTCCCACTGTATCCTAGGTTCCTTTCTTAGCATGACTGCAACACGAACAAACTTCTTGCAGTCTCATTAAGAAAAAAATTACAGATCAAAATTGTAAAACTATCTTTTTTTTTATGTTCTCCAGAGGCTGGTGGTGGTGGCAAGAAGGGAGGCAAGAAGAAGGGTTCTTCTTTCCAGACTGTATCAGCTCTTTTCAGGGTAAGCACAGAAGTAATTTTACTTTGTTGTTGTTGTTGAAGATTGTGAAACTATTAACATTTTTCTACATCATGAACATCTCTTCTGCTATTCAAAAAAGAGCTGGCTGTAAGACAGCTGAGGCCAGCTGAGGAAGATACATTTTGATCTAGTCTCTCTTCAAATGCTGGAAAAAGTATTTAGGTCAGGCTACAGTTTCATTTACTCCTGAGTACACTGGTTTGTAGGATCAAGCTCTTCTCCGTCTTCCACTGCCTTGGGAGGACAATGGTGGATCTGGCTACCTGCCTCAGGAAACCTCATGTATGGGTTGGCATGTACAAACATACGTGCATTTGCACATGTAATACATAACACATAATTCATAACACATATTATTTGCACATGATTATACATATGAAGACAAGGCAATTGGGAAATGCCGAGGCCAGTAACATTTCCACCAATGGAGAAAGATTGAGACAGATGGAAACACTCTTGTTTCGGCATCTGTAGCATCTAGCTACTGAAGGTATACCTTCTCTAGATACTAGAAAACTCAAATTAGGATGGCCATAGGTGGAAGTAATAAATCCATTATTGGTTTCCAAAATTTTTCTCATGTCAGATAGTATCACTTCAGAGGCATCATTTGTTAATAAAAAATCTTTGCTTATGAACACACAGGAGAACCTAAACAAGCTGATGACCAATCTACGAAGCACTCACCCCCATTTTGTGCGCTGTATCATCCCCAATGAAACAAAAACACCTGGTAAGAACCTCAAATTAAATGAAATCATAGTGTGAGGAAACCATTATTCTCTATGCTTTATCATGAAGTATCTAATAACTGTCTTATTTGCTTAGGTGCCATGGAGCATGAACTGGTACTACACCAGCTGCGCTGTAACGGAGTGCTGGAAGGGATCAGAATTTGCAGGAAGGGATTCCCTAGCAGAATCCTCTACGCAGACTTCAAACAGAGGTCAGCCTCCTTTCTGCTCTCCATGCTCCCTTTACTGCATGAGCTGTACATCTTAACTATTTTAACATCTGTGGTTATTTTTCAATGCCAAGTCTATTGGATTATAACTGAAAGAAGGGCAGAATGCTGGAATGTATAACCAAAGGCAACTTGTATGGCTAGAAAAAGAGAAATTGTTGAAAATGAAGTGATAAGTGTCCTCATTCATTGCTGTTCATCACATCACTGAACTTTGACAGTGTCTCTGAATATGGAAGCACAAACCAGTGATAACAAGATGAAAAAATGCAAACTGGGATGTGGCTTCAGTGTGTTCTCAGACAAAAACTGTGAAATCAGATAGAGGGCTTTGACCATTGTATCAGCTGAAAGTTTCAGGGGAAGATGCTTTCTTCCTATACACATAGTGACAATATTCCTCTCTAGCAGTATTCTACAGCATAGTTTAGGTAAAAATGACCAGTCACTGCAAGACTGTAAAAGATTCCTTAATTTTTAATCAGATTATGACTTCATTATAACACTAGCTCTAAACAAGGGATGAAATTCCAACTTCCTCAGACTCATTCTGCTGCAAAGACTAGTTAATTTCAATAAACAGTATAACCTTATGACTTGAGATTGTCTTCATTCATATTGCCTCTCATTCCACAGATACAAGGTGCTCAATGCCAGTGCTATCCCAGAGGGACAGTTCATTGATAGCAAGAAGGCTTCCGAGAAGCTTCTTGGGTCAATCGATGTGGACCACACCCAGTACAAATTTGGCCACACCAAGGTACAAACCCTCCTTGACGCACTCACCGTGTGCCTGTGCTTTTTTCTACGTGATAATGATGTGTGGCAACCTTCCCTTTCTCAAGGTATTCTTCAAAGCTGGGCTGCTGGGACTGCTGGAGGAGATGAGGGATGAGAAGCTGGCACAGCTCATCACTCGCACGCAGGCCAGGTGCAGGGGCTTCTTGATGAGAGTGGAGTACCGGAGAATGGTGGAGAGGAGGTAGACTTCATCTTCGGTTAGAGTCATTGTACTGGGGCAAAGTGTTGACACTCATGGTGAAAATATTAAATGTACATTTTCATTATGCCTCAGGGAGTCCATCTTCTGCATCCAGTACAACGTTCGGTCCTTCATGAATGTGAAACACTGGCCCTGGATGAAGCTGTTTTTCAAGATCAAGCCCTTGCTGAAGAGTGCAGAATCTGAGAAGGAGATGGCCAACATGAAAGGGGAGTTTGAGAAAACCAAGGAAGAGCTTGCAAAGTCTGAGGCAAAAAGGAAGGAGTTGGAGGAGAAAATGGTTTCTTTGCTGCAGGAGAAAAATGATTTGCAACTCCAAGTGCAGGCTGTGAGTATCACCATATATTTCTTCCAGGGGCAACTAAGTAAGGTCTGAATTCTCCCTCATAGCAGGGATCTCTTACGCTGCACACAAAATTGCCTTAGAATATATTTTCATCTGAATCACTAACGATAAAATTCAGATACTCATTTTCAACATTGTAATATGAGGTTCTAATTTGGGCATGTCTTTTTTAGTCTCTATGCCTACAGGTACGTTTCTCCATGCAAGCTCACAACATAAGGTCCAACTTTTGCCACTAGACATTTAGTACATGCAGTTGACAGAGTCTGGAGAGCAATTCATTTTACTTAATCTGATTTTAATCAGTTACCTAAATAAAAGACACTTATGTCATTTATGATACATGGTACCTGTCCTGCAGCTATATTCCAAGAAGACACAAATGCACTCCACATTCTGTCAGGCCTATGTGTGTCTACAATATGCTTTGGAAGAGCAAAAGATTTGGCAACATTTAAACAATGCTCTTGTGTCTTTAAGTGTCTACTTCATAACTTCAAAATAAAATCAGGGTCAAATGGAAACCACCAAGTGCATCTAGAATCTGTAGCAATTTATCTGGAACAAAGAAGATGAATTATAAGTCAGTCTTGCTAAGAAAATCCTTTACAGAGATAAACCAGAAAGATCTGTGCATAATTAAATTCAGTTATTAACTTTCAGGAAAAGTAATCAATATCCTAAGGTAAAAAAGTACTTTGGAATATTTAGAGGTATGATCTATAATACAGCAAAAGACAATACTTGATAAGACTAAAAAAAAATAATACATTGGTAAAATTTGGCTTTTGGTAAAATTTGAGATTAGCAATAAAACCTATGTTTCTCTAACAGGAAGCTGATGCTTTAGCTGATG